AGGTTCAAAGCAGCATGTAGTCTCTGTTACCCTTAATGGAAGAAGTTTGAAACAACCAGGACTCTTCCTAGAGCGGGCCTCCTGGCCAAACTGAGCAATTGATGGAGAAGGGCTTTGGTTAGTGTGGTGACCAGAGGTGGACAATCCAGGGGTCAGAAAGTAAAAGTCCTGCCATATGTTTATTCCACCCATGAACTCAGCAGCTGATTTCACCAGAGGAGGAACCACGTCATTCCTTTCAAGTCACAAACGAGTCTCGAGTCAAATCCCAAGTCCTCAAAGAGTTAAAGTTAATGAGATAATTAAGTGACTAATTAAATGATGATTGTGCATTAGTGATGAACAGCTGCTGTTATTGAGAATTACAGAGGATCAGATGTTGATGTTTTATTGGTTAAAATGATGCCACCATCATGGAGATCAGTGTTTGCTTTAGTTTGGCTCTTACTGTAGTTAGGCTCTTACTTTTCCTTTGTATTTTTGAGGGCCTAAACATGCTCAAAAACTCACAAAAATTTGCACACGTGTCAGAGGTGGTGAAAATTTAAGGCTGATTATGGGTTTCAGAATTATGTGTGGAAAAATGGCTCAATTAAACATTTCTGTAAATGGATCTGTAAAATTTCAACGAAGTGCTCCTCGAGCTACGTTTCACGTACATGTACGAAACTCGCTAGACACATGTAACACACCAATACCTACAAAAAAGTATCCAGGTTCAAAATCCAAAACCCAACACAAAATCAGTTATTTTTAATTTCCTGTATGATTTTTGTGCGGTTTTTGCCATTTTCAGGCTTCATACTTTAGCAAACTCCTCCTACAGTTTTAATCGGATCATCTTCAAATTTTCTAAGTGTAATCACAAGGCCTTTGCGATGCTAAATTGTGAAGATCTTGAGTTTTCTTCAAAGGGCATGTCCCTGGCGGCCTGACAAATTTTGATGTTTCGCCATGAAACAGGAAGTTGCTGTAACTCAGGCATGTAGAGTCCAATCTGACCCAAACTTAACATGCAACATGTTAGAAACATGGTAAAGCATGCTAGCAACACTTAGCTAATTTGCTAAAGCATGCTATTAACCCCTTAACTCACAAAGATCGGCGACGGCCTCAAATTATTGTTGTTTCATTTTCACAGCATGCTAAAACATCACACTCTTAAGGCCCTGATATACTTCCAACATAGTTCGTTTTCGTTCTTCGTTTGGGGGCAAAAAGAAGTTCGAAAAAGCTGAGCGACGGTATACTGTTTCCGAACTTTCCAACACCCCCGCGCTGCTGGAGGCGGGGTGTAGATTAATGTAAACATGTTCCGCGACGCTCGCGCGTATCCCTTTAACACAACAACGATGAAATTAAGAAGTGTAGGCAATCTAGGTGTGAGACGGGCCCCAAAAATCTGAATATTATAGACAAAAGAATAATGATTAGCAGCAGTTCAGAGTCAAGTATCATGTTTGCAATACAAAATAACCATCCCATTTCCATAATCAATCCTTTATGGGAAGTGTGAATGGCTCATAGTCTGAAAACTTTAGCATGATGTGGAAAAAAAATATTGGAGTCAGTCTGTTACTTTATTTTATTAGTGTTCATTTATTTTATTAAACTGGATAAATTGTTACACCTTTTTATATTTTATGTGGTGTCATGATTTACTTTTGATAAAAACAAAGGTTTATTGTTGTATGTTCGTTTGGCATTTCATTTATTGTATACACTTTAAATTCGCTTATTGAAAGAACAACAACAGCAGCAGCAGTATGATGTAACATTTATTTGAACACATGTATTTGGTACTTGCTACCTTATATCTTTTCTCTTTCCTTTCATTCTTTTCATGGCTTTGGAAAACTTGTCTCGGATGTTTCTCTACGTCGCTTTTTGCATAACTCTGGGTCGTCCACACCAAGCTTCGTTGCAATTTCTTTCTAGGAATTAGGCTAAATGCTTTCTCTGATTCTTTAAAGTCTCTCCGCGAGCGATCGTACAGGTGCGGATATACAGGTACATCTCAATAAATTAGAATGTCGTGGAAAAGTTCATTTATTTCAGTAATTCAACTCAAATTGTGAAACTCGTGCAGCTCAGCTATTCGGCACTCCAGTGTATTCATATGTTGCTAGTGACTAGATGTTGTTGTTCTCCTGTTGGACCTCTGTGGAATGAGAAATGAACTGGGAAAAAAAAATCGCACATCAAAGAAGGTGGAGTTTTAGAACACACCCACCAATTGCGTAACCGCCACGGACCAATGGAAGCTCAAACGTGTTTAGGAGCCAAAACGAACTCCCCCAGAAATTTTGCTTTGGTCAGCTGTTTCGAACTGCCGAAACGAACTCAAAACGAACATTGTTTCGGCCTGATTTTGTTCGAAATGATGTCATATCAGTTCGTACTTTGATTTCGTTTGAAGTATATATCGTGGCCTTTACTTGATCTGAACAAACTGTGCATCATTAGAAAGATTAAAGACTCTTTGATATCTGACTACTGTTTTGATAAAACATTGTTGTAGTGACAGTAATTTATTAATTTATGTCACTAGTGCAAAATAATAAATCTGTAAATGTCATATTTGGAATAGAATTCACCACGCATTCATATTCAGTCACGTCTGCAGCGGTTTATTTGTGTTCACATAGCTTCACTGAACAGCATCAATAAATACTTATAGTCCAAAGATGCATATACATGGAGATATATAGATATATTTACTTCAAATTTCTTCAGACAGAATCATAATTTCTATTCATTTTCCACTGATTTACAGCTCCCTGGGCTGTCTCTGTATGTTTACTCTTCCGTGCTCGCGCTCTGACTCAGAGGAAACCTGATTCGCCCGTCGCCTGTAAATTATAAATGCGCATCATATCCCGCCCCGTCTCTTTTTTGGGGGGTATGTCATTTGTGTCTCCATGCTGAAAATGGGGGCTTAACATGCAACATGCTACAGACATGCTAAAGCATGCTAGCTACACTTAGCTAATTTGATTAAACATGCTACAATGAAACAGGAAGTTGCTGTAACTCAGGCAATATTCTACAAACTTAACATGTTTGATAGGAGTCCTGGCCTGAAGACATCTACATGTCCGTATTCTGTTATAGTCATAGCGCCACCTACTGGCAACAGGAAGTTACATGTTTAACACTGTAATGGTCTATAAGCAACACATTAAAATAAGCCATTGAGTGCTAAACATGCTAGAAACATGCTCAAACATACTAGCAACACTTACTAAGTGCTAAAGCATGATAGGAATAACATGAAACAGGAAGTAGCTGTAACTCATGCATGCAATGTCAAATCTGCCCCAAACTTGAACACATCTTAAGACTAGGGTTGGGTATCGTTTGAATTTTATCGATTCCGATTCTTATCGATTCCTAGTTTCGATTCCAATAAGATAAAAAATTAAGTCAAACATTTAGATGTCAAACATTTATTCTGTCTTTTTACAAAGCATTCTGTTGCAGCTGAATAACACAAGGAAAAATCAGGGCGCAAGTTCTTTCCATTCCTGCACTTAAATTGTTTTTAATCACATTAAAATGCGAACGCAGGAATCGTTAAGCAGAATTGAAATGCATGCGTCTTATCGAATACCCGGTTCTTGGAAATTTGGAACCGGTTTTAAAATGGAACCGGTTTTCGATACCCAACCCTACTTAAGACCAACATTCAGTTATAACCATAGCGCCAATTGCTGGCAACAGGAAATTACTTGTTTTACATTAACTTAAACATGTAAACACTACATTCAGATTCATCAATCGGAATGAATTCAGTCCGACTGAAGCAAAAATTCTGCATGTAAACATAGCCACTGTGAAGCGCTCAAGACCGAAACGGCAGAAAGCACATCCTGTATGTTTTATTTATTTTACTAAAGCACAGTGATTTGTTGATATTGTAAGTGCACACAAATAAATGTAGACCCTTTACACTTTCAAATGATTTATTACTCTTAACTTTGAACAAAAATGATAGCGTATTTTAAGTTGTTTCCACTGTAATTAAGAAAAAAATGCAAGTGATCGCACTGGTGCCTCCATGTCCTGCAAAGCACACTTGAGCTTCCACTCTCCCCACAAATGATTGGATATGTGCCTAATAGTGCATATTTATCTAGGTTAAACGTTTAAACTAACATAGTGATATGCTTGAAGTGTTTTATATCTATAGATTTTATTTTAGGCAAGTGGTGATGATTTAAAAAAGGCTAAATTGATCAAACATAGGCTATGATCAACTCACTGTCTACCGCTGGCCGCTTGGTCATTACTTTAACAAATCAAAAACTTGAATTTAACACAAAAAAAAAAATGTTCCAAACATATTTTTAAAAAAAAATGTTCCAAACATTTATAAATTAACTTAATAAAAAAATGAAAAGAAATATAACTACTTTGCCATTAAAAGCAAAACTGAACTATTTTAATGGCTGCAACAGCAGCTGTGTAATGGGAAAGAGAGAGAGAGAGAGAGAGAGAGAGAGAGAGGGGAGGGGAGGGAGGGACACGGGCTCCAGTCGGACTCGGGCCGAGAATTCTGATAAGCTGTCGGACAAGGTCAGGGCTAGGGCCTGAGCATCTTGGGCCAGGGCCGGGCTAGGGCCTATACTGTATTTGAGGCCTGTGCAGGGCTCTAATAATCCCATTCCCATGAACTATGGCAGATCAAACCAAGAACAAACCTTGATATGCCAGCCCCCCTTAATATGATCCATGGTGTCAACAAAAGCCTGCACAAATACTGAAGCACCAACATTGGCCCCATAGTCACATATTGGCTAGGTAGTATCTCTAAACTGAAAAAAAATAAAAAAAATAAAAACATAAGATAAGATAAATAAACAAAAAATGAAATAAAAATAAACCATATATCAATAAAATAACATGAATTAATGAAAATCAATGGATTTGAGAAAGTCTACAAACTGACAGAAACCAGAGCACACACCGCCATAAAAAGTAAGATATACAGTGTGCACGGTGAAGGTTTCAAGTAATAATGGATTAAGAAATAAAATGAACACTAAAGTGAACAGTAAAAGAAACAGTCTCCTAACCACTTAGGAGCTTCTCTTCACCGATTAGACAGCAAATGTCCAGATTAAGTTCACTGAGGGTGGGTGGATGATTGAGATCTGAGAAAACTCTTGCCTCTTCTGAGGAATAAAGTATTTTGGGTTCACCTTGATTGAGAATGACCTTCAGTGATGCAGGATAAAGAAGAAAATTCTGAATGCCAGCTTCTCTCATTTCCTTCCCACAGATTGCTACGCCTATTGCAGTCCTGTAAATCCACCACCTGTTGCTTGAGCGTGGCTACTTGCCTATAGTGATCTGCGCCAACTTTCTTTTGTCTCATCTCCCTTGTAAGAAGATCCAATTTAGCGCAATGAGACTGGACAACTGACATGTGAGAAGCAAACTCGCTCCGCATCGCCATCAACTCAGTTCTTAGAATATGCTCAAAGTGTGCTACAGTGTTCGCCATCTTGTCCATTATATCACTTGTGGTCAGTGGCTTGGGTTACTTCTTAATTGGAAAAGACAACGGTGACAAATCCTGCTGTTTCCGATTGCGTGCCATCTAGCAAAGTGTTATTGGTGAATAAAACTTCAAATAAAACGATGAGATACAGCCTTGGTCTGACGCAAGAAGCAAGTAATTTGTAATTTGTCCAAACTTATGGACCTCTACTCAAGTGCGTCTAGGTTCATGAGCATGTCACATAACTCCGAAACTCACTATTAACACTGAACATTTCAACCTTCAGTTTCAAAGAACTGAGCATTCATCATATCACAAAAAATACAATTTTACACACCTCAGTATCTCCAGCTGACAGTTTTGACTCTTCAGTCCATCAGAGAGCCGCTTCACTCCTGAATCCTGCAGGTCATTGTTACTCAGATCCAGCTCTCTCAGGGCAGAGTCTGAGGATTGTAGAGCTGATGACACAATTTCACAATCCTGAGCAGTGAGATTACAGCCAGCAAGACTGAAAGAGAAAATACAAAAGAGTTTCACGCCAGCAAAATAATTAGTACTTATACAAGCAACTTCTGAATCCATGAATAGTCATTCAGATTAACAATGTTATTAATTTGGTTATGAGTAAAGAATATATTTTTGTCTGATTTCATGTTACATTAGGTCCTAACCTGTAAAATTTTAATAATCATTCTAATTCTAAAAGAATAGAGTAGGCAGGCATATGATGGTATGAAATTTTCATATTTCGATTAATTGCTTTAACTAAACTATTAAACTATTAACTATAAACAGGTTTAATAACTTTTTTCTTATAACAAAAAGAACTGAACATTTACATACAATAAAGTAATACACAAAAATTGTATAAAGTAAAAAAGATTCACACAGATTAAAGTGCAAAAGAATTATAAAAAACAATAAGTATCACTTTACAATATGACCTCATTAGTTAACCTTAGTTAATGCATTAACATTAATAATGAGCAATAGCTACATTTGCTACTGAAGTTATTCATTTTTGTTAAAAAAAATACAACTGTTAGTTCATTAAATAACACAGTTGCACCTTTTGATTTTAACAGTGTGTTATTAAATATTGAAATTACCTAAGATAAATGAAGAATTTTTCATTGGGAGTTTATGGTATCTAATTAATTAACTAATGTTAATTAATAGAGCCTTAATGTAGCCTAAAGTTTGACCAAACAATAAAGAATCAAAACATTTTCAAACAATATCTAGGGCATGTTGTAGTCCAGATTAAAATGTAAAAAAAAAACCTGTTAAAGGGATAGTTCACCCAAAAATGAAAATTAGGCCATTATTTAATCACTCTCAAGCCATCTAGTCGTATATGACTTCCTTCTTTCAGATGAATCCAATCGGAGTTATAATAAAAATTTACTTTGATCTTCCAAGCTGTTTAATGCAAGTCAGCGGGTGTTGCAGTGCATCAGTCCAAAAGAAATGAAATAAAGTGCATCCATCCATAATAAAAAGTGCCTCACACGGCTCCGGGGGGTGAACAATCAATGCGTTTTTGTAAGAAAAATATCCATATTCAAAACGTAATAATCACTTTAATCTAGCTTGCGCTCACTGTTGTACACGGAGCAGCTCCGGGAGGATGCCGTATGAGGTCGGCGTTGCGCATGCGCCGGTGAGTCTCGTGAAAACCAACGTTTGTTTACAGGAGCAAAGGAAGCAAAGTTTCCTTACTTTAGCAAAGGAAAACCAGTGTCCTCTTGGCTTCTATCGAAATCCTCCGACATTCATCTGTACAAATCCTCGTTTTGTACTTCTAATTCGTGACGTTGTTTTGTTTTGAACTTTCCCTTGCACGTTCGTCACTTCTGAGCGGCGCATGTGCAACGCCGACCTCAAAGGTTATCGTCCGGGCAGAACTATTGAAGGAAACTAAAGAACGAAACTTGGAATTTTTTAGAATTGTGTGGAAAAACAGTATGTCCAGCTATAGACAGGCTCTAAAAGCTGCCAGGACCGAGCAAATCCACAAACTCATAGAAAATAACCAAAACAATCCAAGGTTTTTATTTAGCACAGTGGCTAGATTAACAAATAACCAGACGCCACCCGATCTAAATATTCCCTCACAGTTTAATAGTAATGACTTTATGAGATATAAATAGATAATAGATAACATCAGAAATACAATAACAAATATAGATTCTACAGCGTATAATACTTCAACTTCATTCATCGCACCAAAAGATAAACTGCAGTGCTTTACAACTATAGGACAGGAAGAGCTAAATAAACATATCACTGCATCTAAACCAACAACATGTCTGTTAGATCCTGTACCCACTAAATTACTAAAAGAGTTGTTACCTGTAGCAGAAGAACCGCTTCTCAATATTATTAACTCGTCGTTGTCTTTAGGTCACGTCCCAAAACCATTCAAGCTGGCGGTTATTAAGCCTCTTATTAAGAAACCACAACTAGATCCTAGTGAACTGGCAAATTACAGACCCATCTCAAATCTTCCTTTTATGTCTAAAATTTTAGAAAAAGTTGTGTCCGCTCAATTGCGCTCCTTCCTGCAAAAAAATGATCTCTATGAAGAATTTCAGTCAGGTTTCAGGCCCCACCATAGCACTCTTACAAAAACGCATCGATTCGCCACAGGAGGCCTTTATTCACCCCCCGGAGCCGTGTGAGGCACTTTTTTATTATGGATGGATGCGCTTTATTTCAAATGCCCTGCATTTCTGCAGTTCAGTGCCATCTGCTGTCAGAGAGTGAATGTGCGCTTGGCTTTCATCCAGAGCATCTCTCACGCTCTCGGCCATGCACTTCTCATCTGTGCTTGTTTACATCAGAGTGCGCATGCGTCTTTGACGCAGCATACAGCGGTGTTGTGCATTGTGACCAGTTGATGGAAAAAGTATTCTTAAAATGCATTAAAAAAATCTGAATAATGTGTAATAAATAATTATTCATGGTATTTTGAAATGCCCACGATAACAATATCATGCATATTCATTACCATGATATATCGCATTACCGAATACCGGCATATGTCTAAGCAGAGGCCATACCACAACTTTAATAATGATATTGTCACAGAAAAATAAATACATTTGAATTATAGTTATCTTTGTAGTTAATATTCTTTGTGTGAACAGGCCTTTAGTCTCTTAACTGTGAACACACTCACAGAGCTTTTGTGCAGCTGACCACAGCTGGTATCAGTCTTCTTCGCCCCTCATCTGATGTGTTGTATTTCTTGAGGTCCAGCTCATCCAGCGGCTCCTCTGACATCTGAAGCATGTAGGCGATTGTTGAGCAGTGAGCAGGAGAGAGTTTCTTCTCTGAGTGTTTGTCTGATTTCACAAACTCCTGAATCTCTCTGGACAGAGTCTGATCTTTCACTTCCAGCAGACAGAGGAACAGATTGATGGATCTTTCAGTGGAGAGTCCATGTTCATCTTTGATCTTGTCTTTAATGTACTGTGTGGTTCTCCTGATGCTTTCTGAGCTGTTCTCTGTGTGAGTCAGTAGATCCTGTAAGAGTTTCTGATTGGACTCCAGTGAGACGCCCAGCAGGAACCGCAGGAACAGATCCAGCTGGCCATTCTCACTCTCAAAGGCTTGATCTACTGCACATTTAAGCAAATTTTGTACTGGAGCAAATGTTTTTAGTCCCACCATAATTGTACTTACATGAAAGGAAAACACATAGAAAGCAGCAAGAAACTCCTGAACACTCAGATGAATGAAACTGTAGACCTTCTTCTGATGAATCACAGATTCCTCCTTAAAGATCTCAGTGCAAATCCCAGAATACACTGAGGCGTCAGTGACGTCTATGCTGCTCTCAATCAGGTCCTCCTCATAGAACATCACATTGCCCTTCATCAGCTGATGGAAAGCGCTATTAGAAATAAGTTTGGCACCCCTTCTCAAGTTATGCATATGTCGCATATTTTGGAGTACAATTTGCACTATATCATTTAGATAATTGAGTCACTGCGCATCTGAGATGCACTACAGTAAATCAGCAAGTAAATATTTATACTAACAGAGGATCAGAGATCTCTTTTCCATCGCTGAATCTATCAGGTACTTCCATGGATCTGCTACTCTTCACAGACACACCGCTGGGTTCTGGAGACTCTGATCTTGGTGTCTTGCTCTTGCTGATACTGACAAAAGACAAACAAAACAGCATTTTAGACAATACTTAAATGGTTAGATCAGCCAAAAACAAATATTATGTCATTCGAAACACGTAAGACTTTCCTTCTTCTTTGAAACACAAATGGAATATATTTTAATGAAACCTGAATAATTTCTGTACCTTCATTCAAAGTCCATGCCACCAAAACTTTGAAGATCCAAAAGGGTCTTTTTAAAGGGCATCATTTTCTGGACGAGAAACGCAGCGCTGTGTCACACCACGTTTAAAATTCGAGCATATTGTTTATTATAAGTGTATGCACACCGGCGGCCCAACTCAATGTCTGTCCATGGCGCCCAGTTATGACTCAGGAGACTGTTCATATTCCTGCTGTGCCACTAACACAGTTTTTCATACTATAACCTCAGTGCGAATGCATATGTGACTTTTGCTGTTGTGATGACATTCACTGTCATGTGCTGCCACTTACTGGAGGTACCAGGTCACAACACACTTCAGTTGACTTCAATAGCGATGCATAGCATAACATTTTTTTTTTTTAAAGTTATATTTTTTGAGCTTTTTATTCCTTCATCATTTAGACAGGACAGTGGAGAGATTACAGGAAAGTATTGGGTAGAGAGAGGGGAGCGGGACCGGCATAGGACCTCGAGACGGGAATCGAACTCGGGTTGCCATGAGCACATGAATATATGTGCTCATACTAACCACACGGCTATCGGAGCCAACAACGTAGCATAACATTAACATTAATTCAAAGGATAAGGAAAACTCAATAAAGTTGGGAAATACCCTGAATTATGTGTCACGAACCACAGATTATTTTACAGACAAAATTTGGAACTCAGCAGTATGGAGGAAGATTGCTGATGTTATCAGATTTTCAGGTGAGATTCTGAATTAATTCAGTTAACATAAGCCCTGGGTATAAAAGGTATAGTGATTGAGCTTAGCAACTGTTGGAATGAATTGTACAGTAAAATCATAACATAACCGACAGTCAGGGCCGTCCTTAGCTGACGCGGGGCCCAGTGCGAGGTAGGGAGCGGGTCCCCCCTCGGTCCGTTCCCGATCATGTTCTGGGTTGGGGGGTTCCCCCTAGGTCCGTTCGTCGCAATGTTTACAATGTTTCTATATTTTATATTTCTTATTATTTTCCTTGCTTATGCTTTTTCATTGTTTATTCTTATGATTGTGGGGTGTCATGAACTGTTTTGTCTGTACGAACGAGAAATAAGGGTTTATGGTAATTCAAGGTTTATGGGATGTTGTTGTGAAGCAGTTTGGAATAACACTACTTATTGGATTTGTGCTGGTCAGATGAAGACTGAGCATTGAAACATATGCAACCAAGATTATACAATAAACTCTGCTCCTTTTTATCATCATTACTTCGTCTCTTCACTGGCTTTACTCAGTCAACTTCTTGGCTGAAATAAGACAATAGTTTTGGGTACCAGACAAGACTAGATATTAATGGGTTTGGAGTATCGGCAACCCTGCTGACTAGTTGTTTGGATACCAATCAAAACTAGGGGTGTGCGATATATATCTTCTGCAATAATATGATAATTGTTGTTTTAACGATGTGCGATTTGACGTTATTGAGTATTTTGCAAAAACCATTCAAAACACCCCTACAGAGTGCACGCATACATTACATGAAATCTAGACTAGTGCGCGTGCGCATTTAGAGTTTGTTCTTTCACTGCATGATTCAGTCCAATAAAATACATTTAGAATGATCACAAATTCAAGATATGGGGACATAAAATGTATATAGTATTTATATAATTTCATATAGTTAATCAATTTCACACGAAGAGTGACATTTTTTTCTCCAAAATTACCATGATTACAAATGTAATATTGTTTTTTTTACAACAGTTCAATAAACAAAAAGTTAATTAAGAGACTTACGTTTTAGACACCATATTGCCTGTTTTTGCACTATTTCTCCATGAAAAAAATGTATTCCAAACACAGCCACAGCACTGTTTTGCATCTCTGAGCAACATGACGGTGTTTCGTTCAATGCATCTCTTATTTACATCGTGTTAGAGAGATGATTTGCAAGTGTGTAGGGGAAAAAAAAAATCTAGAGTTTAGAGGTGAGTGAATGCAATGGCCAATCACAGGTGTTTAAGAAATCAACAGATATATTTGAGATTGGCTACATTGCTCAGTGCTACGAAAACACGTTGGAAAGAATCTTTTGACGCTTTCCAGTGTGCAAATGCGCATAGGAGCCTTTACCAAATTTGTTTCACAAATATCCTATTATTATAGTTTTAACTGAGGGTGCTTTTGACCGACGGTGTGACATCTGCCACAACTGTGAAAGGGTGAAAGGTACTTTCACTGGTACAAAATAATGAAGTCGGGTAGTATTAATTGAATAAAACCACATTGTAGGTTACTTTTTAAAGAAACACATTTTAACAATTTATTTAACCTGTTAGGCGTGTCTGTGCTTTTAATTACCTTTGTTTAAAAAAATATTCAATCAACTATCATAAACTATATATCATTTGACAGCTAAAACACTCAAGATCCATGTTCTGAGCTTGTTTTTTAAATCAATACACCAGAGAGGAAAGGGTTAACATAAATGATGAAGGACCGGCCATTTAAACATGTAGAAAGTGAATGGCAGTACTTACGTTAAATCCACTTAAAATAAATAATTTACAGGGACATAAATATTACAGATGCAATACATATACACAATCATAGACCAGTGGCATACAGCAGATCTTCACTATATTAAGCATGTCACTATGTTATGGGTATAAAAGAAAAAAAAGAATCACATACACAAATTTTCAGTGTTATAGAAGATTATCTTATTTAATTATGGTAATGTTAATCAGTAAGTGATGATTAATTATATGCAATAGTGCACATATAGTGTACAGGCATAAAACACACTGATCTAACAGTTCCTGACAATCCAGCAGGATGAAGCTGAGTCTGTGGATCCTATGAAACAGTGACAACATCTACAGTAGCTTTTATAAGATCACACTAAATTAATGCATTAATTAAAGAGTCCAGCAGAGCTCAGAATGTTTCTACAGACCATCACATTGACTCACTGAAGTCTCTACTGAATCTCACACACAGAAGATGATAGCTTATAATTAAAAGGTGAAAAAAATCCACATGACAAACAGGATTCAAATATGAAGATTCAAATGCTTTGAAAAGTCATGTCATGCTTTTACTAAAAAACTAAAAAAATAAAAAAACTTATGTATTAAAATAAATATCTAAAATACAAAATAGCTCAATTACCTTATATGGACTCATGAGTCTGTGGAATATGACCTCACAATCTGGCTTTATCCACCTTATTTTTCCCGTAAGAGCGGCGCTGCCATTTGTACATTTAATGCGTCTGGCTTCCGGTGTGGTTCGCTTTCAGCTATTTTTAGCTCTACAAAACAGCTGGTTTTGCGTCTTGGTTTTGCAAACTGGTGTTTCTTGCCATATTATTTTAATGCCATGTCTTAATTATGAACACACTGGTTTGTAGTGCAAACAGTTTTACAGTTTACTGCAGTTTGTTATTCTTCTTGTTATTTCCCTTCAGCGGCTAATGAAGCAGAAGTCTCGCACAGTCACAGAAAACGGCTTACTTCCACACTGAATAATAAGATGTATACCTCACAATACAAGTTATCTTACAATGTGACTATATGTTATAATGTAACTAGCCAACTACTTATTTCATAATTAAATAGTCACAATTACAGTTTTTTTTAAATGAAAAAAAGAATTTTTATGAAATGTAATAGACACTCCTAGCAATTAATTTTGTGGTTCCTCACAAGAGGTTGTTACATCGGACAGAGAAACACTGAAGAATCACGATAAACCAGAAATCCAGCGTAGAGGGGTTCAGTGAATGTGGTGTTGAATGTGTGTAAGTGTGTGAGTGTGTGTGTGTCAGAGACACTGTAGAAGGACAGAGAGCCGGCCGGCCAGTCCAGATACACTCCTACTCTATTAGATGGTGAAGGGCGAGGAACGTTTGTGCTCTTATTATTGTGCCAGACAGAGTAAATTGTATCACAACAGTAAATATTCCAGGACTTTTCATTGAGTCCAAACCGACATTTGCTCCCACCTTTCCTGTTGATTCCTTTGTATGCCACAGCTACATGACCCCATCCGCTCCATTCAACCTCCCAGTAACAGCGTCCAGTCAGACTCTCTCTACACAAAACCTGCTCACAGTTCTCAAACCTCTCTGGATGATCAGGATGCGGCTGATTCTCTCTCTCACACTTTGTTTTCTTGTTCCCTTCAGACAGAGAGAGACGAGTGTGTGCTGTGTTCGGATCCAGTGTGAGATCACATGCATCTGGGAAAAACATCACAGAAAGACAGATTAGAACAATTATGGCTTTATTAAATATGTATTGGTGTATTTGTGTGTGCATGACTTACACATTCGCAGTCCTGGTGTGATCCTGAAATGTTCTCCATGGTCCAAACTGAACAAAGACATAATGAAAAGAGACATAAGTACATACACAAACAAATAATAAGGGTGAATAAATTCTGCATTTGAACCTGAAAGAGTACAACAAAGTATTAAATGGTTAATGTCATGAGAAACCACATTTTTTGATCACATCATTACACAATTAAATCATCTTGCAAGTTTCAAAGCTCAATATATCCTCCTCAG